CGCCGCAGGCGCGTCACCAACTGTGGGTGAGCTTACGCTCTGGGTGGTAGAGTTGGTGACGCGCCTTCAGCGCGCTTTGCTGTCTCCCCTGACGCTCAGAGCCCGTACGGTCCGCTACTCACCGTTTCCCCTCGTGGCGGCGCGAAGGGCGACCCCTCATCGCCTCCACGCAGCCCGCCGCAGGCAGACGAGTCAGCGAGCCTACGGCTCTTCCCCCACACCATGAAACGGAGAATCCACCGTTTCGTGCCCTTCCTGTCACCCCACGATTAGTGGTAGCCGTTATCTTATCCAACGGGAGGTTTATAATTACATAAGCGGGCCAAGGATACGCAGCATCCAAATCGATATGCAGGCCCTCAATTTTGGTCAAGGTTTCATCGTATTTGACAGAGTCCTATTGATTAAAGTGAGACCTCTGAATCCAAACCAGAGGTGCACATACAGATGCAATTTTCTGCTGTAGAGCAGCTGCCTTGCTTTCTGTTCTATCGAGAGAGAAACAAGAGGCATTGTGGGTGGTCCACGCGGCGTTTCTGCAACTCGATTCCCAGCAATCACGGAAGGTGTTGGACAAATATTAACATTTGTCCGGTCAAGCTCTAAACCAGTTCATTCTTCCTCCGGAAGTTCATGCTAGCCTGATTCCCCAGATAGAGCTGTGATTTAGACCAGAACTAATGCCAGCTACGGTGATCAGGCTTTCGTCGGTACAAACCTGATGAATGATTGAAACGTCTAATACATTGAGGATTGCGTCTCAGAGTTGTCCCATCCAACCTTCAGATCCGTTAGCAACACACACACAAGAAGGGAGACCCCTGATGGAAGGGGCTACTTGTACTGCAGCCGGAATTCGAAAGACGGGTGCTGAGGGCTATGTGAAAACAAATTATTATTTCCGTGTCTGGTTGGGGGAAGAACATATATATCACGCAAGAAGTCGTGTGGGGCATGCGTAGGAATCAAGCTCAAGGAAACGTCCCACACAGGTCAACTGCCATAATCGTGAGTCAGATGTAGTTCGTTTCTAATGAGATCGTTCAAGCTCACCCGTCCGTCGAACAGGCCAGTGGGTACCGTCTCCATAATTCAATTCGACCGTCAACCCCTGTGCAATGAGTTCGTCGAATTTGGTTAGAACCAGGTCGTCTCGGATCCACGAGTCATCCTCCCGATCTTCCCAGGGCAGATACAGCTGGAATAACGACAATTTGGTGACGTTAGGGCCGGCTGGATTCCGCCGCGCACACAGAAGGTCGAGTAAGGGCATGGGATTGTAATCGAAATCGATGCCAGTCGCGCGGAGGGAAAGGGTGCAGAGACGAGGGAGAAGTGACGGGTGGATGGCTAATTCTTTGACGAAGTTGTCAATGTCTCTGTTTCCGTATAGCTCGATATCCAAGGTCGTGATGGACGGAATGGCCTCCAGACAGTCTATGACGTCGCTGTCCGTGTATGGTGCGTATTCAGTGGCAAGGTGTTCAAGTACGCAGGATGAACGTGCAAGGAATGAGGTGAGGTTGCGAATATCCGGTATTGCCAATCGGCGCAGGCGAGGCAGTTTCAAAGACTGCAACGCGGTTCTGGTAATAGTTGCCGGGAAGCCGGTAAGAATGAGGGATTGGAGGCAAGGAGCCGTCGTCACCGGTAGGCTGGGGGGCATCGTCGAATTTAGATGAGCTGTGAGACGCACGAGCTGGGGAAGCTGGTTTAATACATCGAACAAGGTTTCGACTGACATGTCCTGGAATTCAATGCTGGTCAACAACGGGTAACGCTTGAGACGCGGTACCCAAGCTGGTCCTACGACTCCGAGAATAGCAAGGTCACACAGGGTAGGGGCGTCTTCAAAAGGAGAGAACAAGGATTCGGCGGTATCCGCGTCCGAGCTATCCAAAGCGAGATGTCGAAGACGCGGAAGGGGGATGGGATTTTCTCGAAGATAGCGGAAATCTAAGGGAGAGAGTCGGAGCTCGAGGCGATCGATTTGTGAAGCAATCGAGGGGATGAGTGAGAGTATCTGCAGGGGGAGTTCCCTGTGCGATGAACGGACCGTCAAAGAAAGCGGACGTGTTTTCGCGCGGGACAATCACGTCTCAAGCAATGGAAGCGCTCCATCATTGGGAAGTTCTCGATATAATGCTGGATTACCCTCCCGAATTGAGGTAAAGTCAAGATCGATAGCGCTCCAAAGCTCGGGCGTCGAGAGGGCAATGTCCCTCCATTGGCTGCAGAGCTGCGCTAGAGTGAGCGGGGGAGTATGAGCAGAAGGCCGGACACGTCCGTGACTGGGGAGGGTCTCGACGAAAACGCGGGAAATGATTTCTGGGGGAAGTGTAAGAACTGGGTATACGACGAGGGACAGTTTCATCTCCAGCTCGCGTTGTTGTGTCTCGAGCACGGCGAGGGATGATTTTTGACGGAGGATGGCCAATTTGATTTCGTCCAAGTTTACTCGCAGCTGCGTAGGTGAAGAACCATCGCTTCCCTCAGTCTCGACGCCGGTCTGGTAACAAGTATCATACCTCACTCGTAGAAAGATCGCGACCCAGGAGAGTCATCGGGGAAGATCTGACGGGGGAGACACCTGTTTCTGAGGGGTAGGAACCAAGCTGCCCAACATTAGGATGGCCGCATTCCCCGCAGATGTGGGCAAGATGTGGGTCATGGTAGCAGCGCAATTGTGTGGCATCGTCACTGTGACATTCCTTGATCCGATCACTCCGGCTTCACGCACTATTTTTCTGTACTCTCTTTGTCCAATCGCTCTGCATTTCTTCACTAGTAACTATGCGGTCCTCTAAGAACTCCGCCATCACAAAGCTCAGGCAAGAGAGACAACGGCCAGCGCAAGCCATGGAGTAGTTGCTGGGCCTTTGCATGCGTTCCCGTTTGGACGCGTTCCTGAGTGGATCGGGTGCGTTATCTGGTGCGTCTCGAGCACAGTTCCGCACATGAACCCTTCTGATGTCGAATGTCGCGTCCCTTGAATATCTTTCTTCCCCCTTGAGATAAGCGCTATTGGGCCCCAACGCTCCCTGCATCCTCCATGTGCTTGGAACTTCTGGCTGGAGAACTACTCCATGTTCCACGTTTCCAGCACCAACGCCTGACCGGAATCCCTCTTCCCACTCTCTCCGGATGTGATACCATTTCTGTGGAGTCGCGCTGGGACCCAAGAGCCAGGTGCTCGATATATGCCGTCTTATGTTCCATGGTCATTTCCTGAGTCGTTATTCAGGTCCGGAGTTGCAGGATCACTGGTAGCAAATACTCGGACGAAGAAAACGTACATATAAGAGCGCAGCGTTCTCGATCTGTGACATGCCTTGCTGGGTGTATGCGCGTCTTTCCTAGTCCCTCCTCGTGGGCGTTCGGTTTCTTCTGTCGAACCCATGTCCTGGAGATATGTGTTGTTATTTTCGATCCTCTTGTTCCAGTCTGAACTAGCGTTGTGATTCAGGCGGTCGTCGTCTCGGGTGTACTTTATCCACAATTATCTTGAGGTGGGTTATTCTTCATCGGTGACGTTCCCGGCTTTCGTATGCTGGATGTATGCGCCCACTTCTCGTGTACGGTGGACGTCTCGAAGCCTATCGGTGTTGTCCATCACGTTCTTGGTCAGCATTTCTCTTCGAATTCGGGCGGGATCTAATACTCTGTGGTTCATCCGCATGCTTCTAGACCGCAATTCGACGTGGATTCTCCTGTCCTGCGGTGGATAATTAAAGCTTCTCAGAGAGGTCTCCTTTTGATTCTCAGAGCATGATTTCTTGGCGTGTCGATTTCCCTGGCTGAGCTCGGTTATACATTCCTTCGCCTGTCCTTCATCATCATTCTTTTACAGCTTGCTCGCTCATCAACATGCCATCTGCGGTTTTATACGCCCACTTCTCGTGCACGTCTGCTTCGCTTGGCTTGTCGGTGAGTATTCCTCTCCGAGTTCGCCAGTAATATAATGTTCTGTGGTTCATTCGCATACTTCTAGACCCGAACTTGGCGCGGATTCCCGGTTCTCTACTGGATATAAGCGAATCTTCTCAGATAGAAGCCATGTCTTGATTCTCAGAGCATTCTTTTCTCGTGAGGGTTTCTCGTTTGACGTCGGTGACACTCCTCATTACCTTTGCAGCGAATTTGACGGTTTTATACGCCCACTTCTCGTACACATTTGCGCCGTTTGCCCTTGAGTATTCATCTTCGAAATCGCCTAGAATCTGATCTTCTGTGGTTCAACCACAGGCTTCTGACCAGAACTTGGATGCGGATCCCTCGGTTCTGTTCTGGATATATACAAGCCCCGTTTTCCTTCTTCTCAGCGAATGATCTCCCTAGCTTTTTCGGCGATGTTCGGCCTCGATTTCCCCGGCTGACTTCGGTTCGCGTGGCCTTAATCATCTACGACTGACTCATAATTTAAATGCGGGCTAACGATTCATTCCTGTACATCCCATCTGTCACTGTGAGGAAAGCTGCCGTCCCCACCGCCTTCGACATGTGTTCTCTCTTCCGCGCGCCCATCCATTCCGTTCCGGCTTCCCCGGGGGATTTTCAAGAATCCTTCCCCTTCGGAATCATATGTACTTCCACTGATTGATTCTGCCGCGCGTAGACGGGCGGTGTGGGATCCTTCGGCGACCGCCGGGCATGTTTTTTTTTCTCGTCAATTTCTTCGGCTGCAGCACTTGACGTCGGTTCCCTTCGCCTCTCCTTCATGATCGTCCCTGCGACTAATTCCTTTATATAGATTTATATAACATCTGTGGGGAAGCTGCCGTCGGCACGCCGTGCCCGGCGTATTCGTTATGCCTCTGCTTAGGCGTCGAATTGCATTCCGAGCTCGTAATTAGTTGACCGACGAAAGTTAAAAATGTTGCCGTATGCAGACTGGTACTTCTTGCCGGCGCCTCAGGCGAATCCAAGTAATCATAACCAAGGTCAATATTAATGCAACACCTGGGAGGACAACAGCTGCAAACGTTCTAACGACTTGTACAGTGTGAGTGGTGTACCGGTAACATTGGGTCTTCCCAAGAAAGTTTCTCTTTGGCCTAGCACCGGGTTCGACTCCCGGCTCACGCATGTATGATAATGGCATTGCTTTATTTTGCAGCGGCTTTTAATTTTTATTCGCGCAGTCCGGATTATTATCCCAATGTTTGAGTTTCCAGCAATGGGGATTCATAGTCCAAATCGTAGTCATCATATAGATAGTTTATGAATTTCCAACGGCAGCTCAAAAAAGTCATAAACATCCACGAGGCCAAGGGACTCAGAATCGACAGGCGCTGCAGGCGGAAAAATCACCCGGCGCGAGTTCGCGTAAAACCGCGACAAAATCAAGCGTCTAATGGGGAGTGTTCCTGAATATCACCGGGAAAAGTGATCAAATTGGATGGCAGGCGGAATAGTCTAAGGAACTGTTGGCGGGTCCTCCAGGGATCGGTAGCCCCAAGTTGCTGCTCGCCCATCGTTATATAAATTGAATGCTTTCTCTCTCCACCAGCCGCCGAAACGCAAAATGGTACCACAGATTTGTGTATTTAACAGCGCAGCGCCCCCTCCCCGATTTAAATTTCCGAATTTCGTTCATAAATGCAGCCGACAGGTGGCTCAGAAGTAGAGCATCTGATTTTGCACAGCCACGATCGCTCGTCTTGTTGAAAATTCAAAATCTGGGCGATGGTGATTAATTTCACATCCCGATTTCCTTATCTTCCACCCAATCCTTCCTTCCTTCCCCAACTGCCAAAAATTAGTTGCAACTTCTGACGATCACATATTGAAACTCCAATCCCTGATAGGGGTCTAGTCTTCAAGTTTCCAATCCTCCCAATCTAACGATGATCTCAGTCCCCCTCGTGCCATTGCAAGATGACAGCATTCAAGAACGCCATCAAGGAAGAAGAACGTCAGATGCTCAGGAGACAGGGCGTATCCAACGCCAAGCACCCAACGACGCATGTTGATTTATTGGTTGTACCATGGAGGTTGTGGGCTGTTGTGGGGTTCGATATTCATCTGATGGTCGGCTGCTGACCCGAACGTCGAGAAGACATCGCTTCGCGAATCGTCGGAGGGGGAACCGCCGGAGGTAGTGTGCTGACCAGCCCTGACCAGTAGTGCTGCCAACTCGGCAGCCACTCATACCGAATATCGGCACGAGAAGACCGCATACGAACGTCGGCACCAGCAGACATCGCTTCGTCCTCATCGTCGGAAGCACGTCCTGGACCAACAATGGAAACATCCAATAGTCCCCCTCGATTCCCCAAATACGATTCAAATTTCTATACTACATGTGATATGTACATTGGCATTGGCGCGCCATCATGATGCGCAACAGCAGCAAGACCGACCTGCCTCCTTTCCTCCCCCCCCCTCCAACCGACCTTCCTCCCTCCTTCCAACCAGGCTAGGCTAGGCGTCTGCATCGGAACGAGTTCCAACCAGACGTGTGAATCGGAACTAGTAGTAGTCCCGACGCGATACAGATATCATACAGTACATCGAATAAATGAGCGATAGAAAGGGGTTGTGTGTTGCTTGATGATGTACATTCTAAATGAGGGTGGCCCTGGTCCTGGCTTCCTTCCAAGGGAGAAAAAGGGCGGGCGGGTTGATTTACCGCGGGTGTGTGGTTGGTTGATTTACCGCGCCAGGGAGCGCAGCGAGGGTCGAGGGTCGGACAGGGTCAGGGTCCCAGGGGTAGAGTCAGAGTCAGAATCAGACAAACTCGGCATGCTTGAGGTGCTCGCGGATGATGCCGTCGCGTACTAAAGTCGTAATAAATAAATTGAATAAGTCAGCTCGGAATGGCGGGGAAGAGGCGCACCGATGTTGAGGGTTGCCGCTGTGGCTTTTGTGTCCTGCAGAGGAACGAGAGTGAGTAAGCTTGGATTAAGGATAAAGATAGAGAGCGAGAGAGACGCACAGTGACCGACGTGGCGTAGAGATAAGTGGTGCGCGGCTCGGACGCGTCCGAGCGGATGATATCCTTGAACTTGTCCTTCAGGTCTATGTACCGAGGCGGTCAGTATGAGCCAACGACGCGTAGATTATAACGATGAAAACAACGAGAACAAGAAGCGTAATTCAATAACAAAGAAAGATTGAGCCGGAGAGACGGGACGCACATTTGACGACGACGCCGACCTCGTTCTGGCGGGTGCCGAAGCTGATCATGTGCTTGTTCACCATGATCCCGCTCTGCAGTTTCCTGTGTTCACATCAGTTGTTTATCCGGAGCAACGAAGCAAAGGACGGGAGAACGGGTGGAGCGTAAAGGAAGGAAGGAAGGAAGAAGGGAAACGCACCGTTTGAGCAAGTCGCATTTGTTGAGGAAGACGATGAGGGTGGTCTTGGTGAGGAGCTTGGACGAGACGATCGCTTTCCAGAGGAGGAGCGTGTCCTCCAGGCGATTCACGGACGGGTCCTCCGCGAGGCGCTCGTCGAAGCACGAGATGGCTGAAGGTTCACGCCGTAATATCATTAGTGGATCAATATGGGACGTCATTTAGACGACTCACGCGCAACTGCGGGGAAGGAAGGAAGCAAGGGTCAATGCCGTTAAGATGACTGGCAAAGGACTAAAACTCACGGAATATAATTGCGTTGACTGCGTCGAAGTATGGTAGCCACGCGTGGCGCTGCACAACGTCCGTTCATCAACATCGACTTCGTGGAAGAGGTACGGCGGACATACCATGGAGCGCGAGCCGCCCACGTCGTAGATCACCCATTCAGACCCGAAGGAGTCGCCTAGGAGAACAAACGTAAGCATCACGCGGGACATATGGAGTTTGGAAGAGGAAAGAAGACACAGGACATCATGGATATGTCTCGAGTGTCCAAGCGCAAACGACGCAGCGTGCGATGATCGTGGATCACCACTGGCAGCGCGTACTCACTATTTTCCAGCAAAATGCGCCATTCCTGGACGCCGAGCGTGCGGAGGCGTGCGCGCACTACGTCGTTGTCCGACGGGACGTAGGTCCGGGTGGTGATGCGCGCCGTGTCGGATAGGAAGCTGAACGGAACATGAGCACTGGGAACATAGAAAACGAAAACAGAAAAGACTAGACTCACAACCCAGGCCGGTCCTCGATACGGATGCCTTTGGCGCGCAACAGCTCACGGACTTGGTCGTCCTCCCACAAGGAGATAATGTCGTCTCGGACTGTCGCAAGTATCTCCGTCGGCTCGTCGACAGCCATCGGCTCGTCCGACTTCTTCGCGCCATTTGATGGGAAGCCCAGAGCGCCTATCCAGCCGCGGACACCGAACTCGCGCACGGCCTGGCGGTGCCCGTCGCCCATGACGCCGTTCATCGCACCGTCTTCCTCGTTGGCAAACGTGAATTCAGGGTCGACGGCGCCCAGGCGGCGGCGCAGGTCCTCCTCCACCTCGCGGAGCGGAGATAGGCGCAGATTGAGTATCCGGTGTTTCTGAGTCAGGATGATATGCATCGTGGAGCGCCCCGAGCTCGCGAGCGTAATGTCCGACATCGTCGAGTCGATCGAGGCGCGCCCGTATGCCTGGGGCAGGAACGCGGTGGGCCCAGAGTGCGGCGGGGCCTCGGGCATGGCGAGGCGGGCCTCCATAACATCGAGGATGGTGAGCACGTTTTGGATGAGGTTGAGCTGGATGACGGCGCGCCAGGAGCGCAGCTCGGCCTTCCACTGTGACGGTGCGTATTTCAGGCGGAAATCTGCATGGAGACCGTGAGCCGAAAAAGCGGAGGGGGCAGGTCGTGTGCGACAAGAGGAACACGGCGTACTTTTCAGGACAGTGCTCTTCCCGCTCTCGCTTTGCCCGAGCAGCAGCACCTTGACCTCGCGCTTCATCCTCTTCTTCCTCTCCGCGCGGTCTTTGCGTAGGTCATCGTCGATCTGATCGCTGACACGTTTCTGCTCCTGCTCTAAATCCACCCGTGCCTGACGCTCGGCAGGGGTCTCATCCGGCGGCGGCTGTAGCACAAGGGAGAAGGGATCGGAGAGCTGGGGCTTGTGCGTGCGCGTCCGGGAAACCATCGTGGCGGTGAGATGCGATGAAGCGAATAAAGTACTTATTCCGGCGCGAACAGTCAGATGCCCAACAACTCCTCGACGTCAGGCGAATAGGGGTCCGATATGCTGATGATAGGGCGCAGCAACGCAAAGGGAAAAAAAAGGCGGGAAAGGCGCGAGGGTGTGTGGAGGGCGTGCAGACGAAATGGAAGGCCAAGTTAATACCCGAAGAGATGAGAAGAAAAGACGTAAAATTCGGGACGGCTGTTTGTCGTTGTCCCATTGGGAAGTCGGCACCTGCCATGTGGGTGCCATCAATCAGGGTCGCTATGATCCATTCGATACCCTTTTTTTTCTGCTTCCGCCTGAGCAAATTCATCGTCTCCAGTCCTGACTGAGACTGAGACAGGGGAGTTGAAGGCTGCAAGCTTTGAATTACACGGATGGTAGGTAAGAGCTAACGCACCATCATAGAAGTTTGTTGGCCGATTTTAGGATTGACGTATTGCCACTGCATTGCCGCACCGAATCAATTAATTACCGGTCTGAATACGGGCCTTGACGGGCCTGAAAGTTAGTCGGCACTCGGCCGTTTGTCAGAAATGAAACCTAATGAAACGCGTACCAAGGTTAACCTAGCCGGGACCGCGAAATAGCTTCCGTGAAACGCGCCAGGTGGCCCAGGACGAAGATGCATGCGGAGGCAGGGATGTCGCCTTGGCACCAGGGCAATATTGAGCAGAATAAGACTCAGGATAAATTAAGCCCAGCGCGGTCCCATTTCGGAACATGCTTCGAACTGCAATTTACTTGATAGGGGTTGCATTTAAGTTGCGTCTTAGCTCGTCCCTGTCTCCACGTGTACCACAATTTGATGGTTGACTCGCCTCCAATACAAACGGCTGAATCTCTGTCAGACGAAAATAGGACTCGAACAGATGCCCACACACCGGCAACTTGCGGGAACGGATTTGGATTTGGAACTGTAACGGGAGAAGCAGAATAGAGTGAAGAATGGAAGCAGTGTGTGATAGCAGGCGGTCTTCGGAAAGTTAAATGAGTCTGATAGGATAA